AGAAATGACAACAAACTCTCAAAAGAGAAAATATAATTTCTAGAATTGCCACATTATTTCATTTTAAATATCGAATTTTCAATAAAAAATTATAGATAGTTGAAGACACAAAAATACAGTCAGTATGTAGAAAAAAAACAGTCAGTATAAATTGTTCCTGAGGAATCCAACAGAGGGACTCACTAGACAAAAATTTTAAATCTTTGATTATTTTAAACATATCCAGAACACTAAATGAAATAATTCCTAAATAATTCATGGACTACATGGGAACAATGACTTATAAAATAAAGAATATCAATAAGCCTTGGCTGGTGTAACTCAGTGGATTGAGCATGGGCCTGTGAACCACATGACTGGGGTTTGATTCCCAGTCAGGGCACATGCCTGGTTTGCAGGCCAGTCCCCAGCAGGGGACTCACAAGAAGCAACCATACAATGATATTTCTCTCCCTCTCTCCTTCCCTTCCCAACTAAGGATAAATAAATAAAAAATAAAATCTTTTTATAAAAGGCAAAAGAATATCAATAAAAGGAAATTATAAAAAAAAACAAATGAAAATTCAGAAGTTGAAAAGTAAAATAACTAAAATAAAAAATTCTCTAGAAAGACCTAACAGTACATTTGAGCAGGCAGAAAAAATTAGCAAACTCGAGGTCAACTGAGATTATGCAGCCTACAGAACAGAAACAGAAAAGAAAGAAGAAAAATTAAATAGAACCTCAAAGACCTGTGGAACCATCAAGCATACCACCACACACATAAAGGGAGTCACAGAAGGAGAGAGAGAGAAAAGGGCAAACTTTTTTCATCCAATGAATATTTATTAAGTATCTATTAGGTGCCCATCACTGTGGCTCACAGATGAGAAAACCACGATCTTTGGGCTTTGCCCAAGGTCACCTCAGTTCTTACAAGAGGGATTTAGGGTTTGGAAACTGAATACCCTGCAGAAGGATCTCTGTAAGGTGAACTGCTAAAAAGCATGAGAGAAAGCGAGGGTCAGAGAAGCCAGTAGTCTGCCTTCTCATGCCTATTCAGGCCTCAGTTTCCCAATCTGTTTCCCTGTAAAAAGGGAGTGATATTTTCCCCTGAATTTCAAATAATTCCTGACATTATAGATGTCATTTTCTATCATCTAGAGCTGATCCTCACCAGGCCACTGCTGCAGGTGCTCCTGGAGTGGATGGGGATTTCAGAGGCGGAATGAAAGTAGCAAAAGAGAACCAACTCATCATGTGCAGGGGTTCTCTATAACACTAACAATGACTTCTCACAAGAAATCATGGAAGTAGAAGGCATTGGGATGACTAACTCAAAGTTTAAAAGAAGACTGCTAACCAAGAAATCTATGTGCAGCAGAACTATCCTGCAAAAGTCAAGGAGAAAAAAAAGACTTTCCAAAATAAACATTAACTGAAAAAAATTGTCACTAGCAGACCCGTCCTACAAGAAATACTAAAGTGAGTCATTCAGGCTGAAGCAAAAGGATTCTACATAGCAAGTAAGTCCACATAAAAAAAAATAATAAAAATATAAAAGTGACTGGTTTGTAACTTTTCTTCCTGCGTAACTTGAAAGACAACTCCACTAAGCAATAATTACAAATTTGTGCTGATGGAACTAGAATGTATAAGGATGTTAATTTGTATGAAAATATCAGTACCAAAAGGAAGAATGGATTATATATAAACAAACATTTTTTAATATTTTTATCATTGAACTTTAGTAATTTGACCTAGTTTATTATTTTTTAAGGTTTTATTTATTTATTTTGAGAGAGAAGGGGAGGGAGGGAGGAGAGGGAGAGAAACATCAATGTGCGGTTGCCTCTCACACGCCCCCTGCTGGGGACCTGGCCTGCCACGGAGGCATGTGCCCTGAATGGGAATTGAACCAGCGATCCTTTAGTTCTCAGGCCCATGCTCAATTCACTGAGCTACACCAGCCAGAGCTGACCTAGTTTATTATTAATTAAGATATCAATAGTTATCTCTAGTGCAACCATTAAGAAGTAACTCAAAATATATATAGGAAAAATAACATGGGAATTGAAATGGTACACTAAAAAATATGTATTTAGGGACTTCCGCCAAGATGGAGGTTTAGGTGGATGTGCCGTACCTTCTCACACAACCAAGTTTAGAGACAACTAAATATTAGCAACAGAAAACACAGCCAGAACACGGAAAATTGAACTTTTCGGAAGTCCGTTAACAACAAATTCTTCAGCCTGACCTGTAAGGGGCGAAACCAGCGGCTGGTGAAGCGGGGCTGCACAGGAGGTCTCGGTCAGCCAGACTCTGGCGCGGAATCCAGACGCGCGCAATCCAGGCGCAGGGTTGGACCTAGTGAGCGACCCAGCTAGCAACCAGGCGAGAGACCGAGGGGTAGACAGCCGGGCCCGGGGCTGCGTGTTGACTGAGGTCGCGCATTTGTGCGAGGGTGGACAGGCGAGGGAGTGGGCGGTTGGACCGGGCCGGCAGGTCCCCACGGCGAGCGGCAGTGGAGGGCGCCGCCATTTCCCTGCTCTGACCCCACCTCCACATACGGCGTCATAACCCAGCGACTCTGAGTGGCCCGGCCCAGGTGAACCACCTAAGGCACTGCTCCTCCACACCCAGCTGTGAGAAGCGGCAGAGGGGGTCGCCATTTCCCTGCTCTGGCCACGCCCCCACATACAGCATCACAACCCAGCGACCTGGGAATCCAAGGCGCCGCTTCTCTCACTTAAAGGGCCAGAACAGACCAAAAATGTCGCAAGAAGACCTCAAAGCCCCAGAGATAAATCTAAGCGACGAAGAAATAGCAAAACTCTCAGACGCACAGTTTAAAACACTGGTCATCAGGATCCTCACAGAACTGGTTGATTATACCGACAAATTAGACAAATATATGAAGGCGAAACTAATTGAAATGAATGGAATTGCACAGGACACCAATAGCAATGAAAAGGAAACTGGGACTCAAATCAATGGAGTGGACCAGAAGAAAGCAAATAATGGCCAAACAGAAAAGAGTCAAGAAGCAAGAATTCAAAGAAATGAGGAGAATCTTAGGAACCTCCAGGACATCTTTAAACGCTCCAACATCCTAATTATAGGGGTACCAGAAGGGGGGAAAGGCACAGCCACCAGTGGAAAACTTATTTGAACAAATAATAAAGGAGAATTTCCCCAATCTGACAAAGGAAATAGACTTCCAAGAAATCCAGGAAGCTCAGAGAGTCCCAAAGAAGTTGGACCCAAGAAGGAACACACCAAGGCACATCATAATTACATTAGCCAAAATTAAAATGAAGGAGAGAATCCTAGAAGCAGCAAGAGCTAAGGGGACAGTCACCTACAAAGGAGTCCCCATCAGACTGTCAGCGGATTTCTCAAAAGAGACCTTACAGGCAAGAAGGGGCTGGAAAGAGATATTCCAAGTCATGAAATCCAAAGACCTACAACCAAGATTGCTCTATCCAGCAAAACTTTCATTTAGAATGGAAGGACAGATAAGTTGCTTCTCAGATAAGATCAAATTCAAGGAGTTCATCATCACCAAGCCCTTATTATATGAAATGTTAAAGGGACTTATCTAAGAAAAAGAAGTTAAAGAAACATGAACAGTGAAAGGACAACAAACTCACAGTTATTAACAACCACACCTAAAACAAAAGCAAACTAAAAGGATAGCTAGATCAGGAGTGGAAACATAGAAATGAAGATCTCAAGGAGGGTTAGCAACAGGGGAGTGGGAGGAGGAGAAGGGAGGGAGAAGGTACAGAAAATAAGTAGCATAGACAGTAGATAGAAAATAGATGCGGGGGGGCAAGAATAGCATGGGAAATATAGAATCTAAAGGAATTGAGATACATGGTCATAAACTAAAGGGGGGGTAATGGTGGGGATGGGGGGGGTAGGGTGGAGGGGAATGAAGGGGGGAATAGAACAACTGTAACAGCATAATCAATAAAAAAATTTAAAAAAAATATGTATTTAACTCAAAAACAGCCAGTAATGGAGAAATAAAAAAGACACAAGAGATACAAAAACAAAAAAAATGGCAGACACAAATCTTACCTTGTCAGTAATAACTTAAATTTAAATGAAATAAACACTTCAATCAAAAGACAGAGATGAGCACAATGTATAAAAATAGAAAATATGAAGCAAATATTAACTATACAATGTCAAAAGACATATTTTTGCCTTGGCCAGGTGGCTCAGTTGACTGTAACATAATCATGTGGACCAAAAGGTTGCAGGTTCAATCCCCAGTCAGGGCAGACACCTAGCAGTTTCAATCACCTGTCAGGATTGAAACTGCTAAGACATATACAGGAGGCAACCAGTCCATGTCTCTTTCTTACACTGATGTTTCTCTCTCTCCTCTCTCCCTTTTTCTCTCCTTTTTTCTCTCTCTAAAATCAATAAACATAACCTCAGGTAAAAATCTTTGTAAAGACATATATGAAGTTCACAGACACAAATAGGTTGAAGTTAAAAAGATATGCTTTGCAAACTGTAGCCAAAAGAGAGCTGGAGTAGCTATACTAATATCAGGCCAAATAGACTTTAAGACAAAGATTGTTACTCAAAACAAAGAATAACATTTTATGATAAGAAAATGATTCAGTCAAGAAGATATGAAGGCCTGGCTGGTGTAGCTCAGCGGATTGAGCACAGGCCTGTGATGCAAAGAGTTGTGGGTTCAATTCCCAGTCAGGGCACATACCTGGGTTGCAGGCCAGGTCCCCAGCAGGGGATACATGGGAGGCAAACACACATTGATATTTCTTTCCCACTCTTTCTCCTTCCCTTCCCCTCTCTCTAAAAATAAAAACAAGAAGATATGACAATTATAGCAGAACCCAAAAATTCTTGAAGTAAAAACTTACAGAATTGTTCCAGTCCAGGTGGCCCAGGTGGTTGAGCATTGTCCTGGGCACTAGAAGGTTGCAGGTTCCATCCCAGTTGGGGTGCAGGCAGAGGTGACCGAATGAAGTTTCTCTCTCACATTGATATTTCTCCATCTCTCTCTCTCTCTCTCTTTCTCCATTCCTCTCTCTCTAAATCAATAAACATATCCTTGGATAATAATTTTAAAAAATCAGCTCGACCTATAGAACACTCCATGCAACAGGAGAAGCATACACATATTTCTCAGGCATATGTGGAACACTCCATTAGACTATGCGTTAACCCACAAAACAAGTCTCAAAAATTTAAAAGAATTGAACTCATATAATGCCACGTTCTCTTCCAACCATGTTGTCTGACAAGGTCCGGGCATGGAGGAGTCGAGTTCAAGAAATTCGTCTCCCCGGAAGAGAACGTGGCATCCAAAATGGGTTAACAATCGACTGTTTTATTTTAATTATTTTACTCTTGCTACTGAGTATGGACATTGTACTGTACTTACTGATTCCTGTGAAAGTCACCCAAGAGGAGGGAACAGTTCAGGGGAAAACATTAGTATTCCCCACGAAACTGCCTGAAAGGATGGACAAATCCCCACAGATTCCCCTCTCCCTTATACAGGGGTGTACAACAGCCAGGGTAATATAATTGTTAACCATAAGGGAAAACATGCCAAGTTGTATAAATTACCCTGGTTTGAACAACTTAAAGCAATCAAGACTGCCATGGTGTACCAGAAATAAGAAAAATAAGTTAGATATCTTAAATTAACAGTTAAGGCCAGTTAATAAAGAAATGGGTTATTGTTGTAAGCACAGGTTGTGCTGCCAACAGTTGAAGGAATGGAAGAACAGATTAGAAAGACTTTCCCACAACTGTTCCTTATTCACAGATACAAAGGGTCTTCCAAGAAAACAAGTAAAAACTATACAGACCCATACCCACAGCCCAGGGATACAGTTGGGATGGTTGAGATGCATCTGCAAGGCAGAGGCAACTGTGGCTGGATTTCCTGTCTCTCTCTCCTTACAAGTTTGTTTTGGTGATCAAAAGATGGTGGGATTGTTAGACACCTGTATTTCAGGTTCATTGATTTGCATAATTCCAATGAAGTTGTACAAAATAATTTCTTGACCAGAGAACAAAGTTCCCTCTAATGAAATAGCCCCTGAATGTGGAAAAGTTGTTGGAGTAACAGCCCCTCCTTTACCTTGAACAAGAATATATATTAATTAGAATTAAGCAGGCAAAGAAACAGGAAAAGCTTGTTAGATACTACAAACTAAACACGTAGAAACAATGACCAAGGAGTTAGAGTTCATAGTACACAGAGAAACATTTTGGACAGAAAGATAGATAGCTAAGTTAGACATCACAAAGGCCTTATAATGAATTTTCTAACCTCTGCTCGGTCTAGTGTACCTTTTGCCCCATGCCAAATTCTAAGACCTTTAATAAACAATAAGTCATTTAAACTCTGTACATAGAGCTATTTCAAATTGTCTGATTAATGGCTCTCCTGGTCAAAACCACTTTTGTTTAACATAACTGAAACTATGGAAATTCTAGTATTTTTCCTGGTTACCTTTGTATTGATTTTTTCTCCTTAACTGATCATGCTATACTGCAAATGTTAATCACTATCTAAAATGAAAATACAAAAACCTGCTTGTACTTGCAATAAATGGAACAGAGCTTCACTGTCCTTTGAGGCATGTTGTCATCTGTTACCCATCGCCAACTCCTTCCCCACCTTTGGGAATCCCTGGACCCTGCTGTGGCTGGTCTGTGGCAACATAAATTATGTACTCAGATCACATGGAATGAAATTAGAAATCAATAACAGAAAGAAATTTGGAAATTTCACAAATACATGGAAATTAAATAAAACACTCTTCAACAACCAATAGTTCAAAGAAAAAAACCACAAGTGAAGTTGAAAAAGATTTTGAGATGAATGAAAACAAAAAAATGTAAGATTTTAAAATATACATGATGCAGTTAAAGTAGTGCTGAGAGAGAAATTTAAAACCATTACAACTACATAAGAAAAGAATAAAGATTTCAAATCTACAACCTAATATTCCACCTTAAGAAAAAGAAGAGCAAACCAAACCTAAACCAAGCAGAATGAAAAATAATAATAAACATTAGAACAAAACTAAAAAAAGATGAACTGAAAAACAACAAAATCAAAAGTTGGTTCTTTCTGAAAAGATCAACAAAATTATATAACTGTTAGCTTAGAATAACAAGGAATAAAGAGACACAATTCAATTGACCAAATTCAAGAATAAAAGAGGGGACATTACTACCAACCTTACAGATGGGAAAAGATTATAAGAGAATACTGTAAGCAAGTATATGCCAACAAATTAGCTTTAAATTTAAATAAGATAGACAAATTTCTAGAATATAAGATACTATTAAAATTGACTCAAGGAAAGTAGAAAATATGAAAAGACCTATAACAAATACCACAATAGCATTAGTAATCAAAAATGTACCATGAAGATCTGGCTGGTGTGGCTCAGTGGATTCAGTGCCAGCCTGTGAACCAAAGGGTCACCTGTTCAATTCCCAGTCAGGACACATGCCTTGCTTGTGAGACAGGTCCCCAGTAGGGGGAATGTAAGAAGCAACCACACACTGATGTTTCTCTCCTTCTTTTTCTCCCCCCTTTTACCTCCCTAAAAATAAATAAATAAAATCTTTAAACAAAATGTACCATGAAGAAAAAACACTTCATGGCTTTACCACTCAGCTCTACCAAATATTCAAAGAATAATTTATGTGAAAACTTGACATACTCTTTCAAAAAACAGAAACAGACTATTCTTCCCCTCATTCTTGACTCCAATAGTGTCTTGAAACCAAACCAAACACAATGAGAAAAAAAACTACAGACCAATATTCTTTATGAAGAGTGATGCAAAAATCATCAACAAAATACTAGCAAGAAAATCCAGTAGCATAGGATTATATAACCAAGCAACCAAGTGGGATTTATTGTAAAAGTTCAAGGTTGGTACAACATAGAAAAAAAATCAATCAATGCAGAACACCATATTAGTAAAATAAAGAAAAAAGGCCACAAGGTCATCTAAATAAATTCCTGCCATGGACAATCTGGCCAAATACCAGGCCGCCACGCTTGCAGACCCACAGCTCCCACCACCTGTATAATAAGGCACCTGGGCCTGCACAAGCATTATTCCTGAATGCAGAAGTGTCCACCAGCCTGGACAAAACTGATGTTCAATAGTGGACTAACTGGAATTTTCAGTCCCCTCTCTCTGTCTTTTAAAAACAAGCTTTGCCCTTTTTGGACTGAATAAACTTTTTTTTAAATTTGGTTTTATTAAAATATAGTTGACATAGAATATTGTGTTAGTTTCAGGTGTACAACATAATGATTTGACTTTATATGCCTTATAATATAATCATGGAATATATATTCAATAATAAACCCCATGATTTTCAAACACTGAGAAGACTATTTGGAAAATCCAAGGGAGAGATAACAGATGTCCTGCTAACAATAATATGGTAATCAGATAATAGATTTGTTGTTTAAACCACAAAAAATAATGATGATGATGATGATGATGATAATAATAATAATAATAATAATAATAATAATAATGGGGAAGGAGTAGAGCAAGCAATGAGAGAAATAACATGTGATGTTAAAATATTTACACCTTGGCTATGAAAATGAGTTGTATTGACTAGACATGGATATAGAAGTGTTAAATAAGGGCTTCAGCCAAGATGGAGGCATATGTAGACACACTGTGCCTCCTCACACAACTGAAGAAAGACAATAACAAATTTAAAAACAAAAACACCAGAGCTGCCAGAAAATCAAACTGTATGAAAGTCCAACAACCAAGGACTTAAAGAAGAAACATTCATCCAGGCTGGTAGGAGGGATGGAGACATGCAGCCAGGGCAGAGATGACTCACAGCAAGGCAACAGCTGGCGGAGTGGGTGACCCAGTGACTCCACATTCATGTGCAGATAAACCAGAATAACTAGGGAGTGAGACAGAATGCACAACACAGGTTCCCAGCATGGTGAAATAAAGCCTCAAAACCTCTGACTAAAGAAAACCTGTGAGGGTTTTGTTGTGGGGACAAACTCCCAGCCTCACAGAGTTCATTGGAGAGACCCACGGGGTCCTAGAATGTACACAAACCCACCCAGCCAGGAATCAGCACCAGAAGGGCACAATTTGATTGTGGGTAGCAGGGGAAGTGAGTGAAAGCCAGCTGAGAGCAGAACAAGCAGCACTGTTCCCTTTCTAACCCCTCCCCCACTCACAGTGTCACAAGGCAGCAACAAGGGTTGCCCCCTGCTGATGAACACCTAAGACTCCAACCCTTACTGCATAACAGGTGCATGGAGACAAAAAAAAAAAAGGCCCAAATGAAAGAACAGATCAAAGCTCCAGAAAAAGAACTAAGCAAAGTGGAGATAAGCAATCTATTAGATACACAGTTCAAAATAATGACTCTAACACAATGCTCAAGAAACTTTGTGAGGACCTCAACAGCATAAAATAGATCCAGGGGACTTCCGGCCAAGATGGAGGCATAGGTAGACACATTGTGCCTCCTTGCAAAACCAAAAGAAGGACAAACAAATTTAAAAACAAAAAACAACCAGAACTGACAGAAAATCAAATTGTATGGAAGTCCAACAACCAGGGAGTTAAAGAAGAAACATTCATCCAGACCAGTAAAATGGGTGGAGATGGACAACTGGGCAGAGAGGACTCATGGAAAGATGGTGGCTTGCAGACTGGGCAGCCCCACATTCACATGCAGATAAAATGGGAGGAACGACTAGAGATCGAGATAGACTGCACAGGACAGGGTTCCAATACAGGGAAATAAAGACTCAAAGCTTCTAACTGAAAACATCTGTGGGAGTTGAAGTGGCAGCAGGAGAAACTCTCAGCCTCAAAAAAAAGTTCATTACAGACTCACAGCATCCTAGAATATACATAAATCCACCCATCCTGAAATCATCACCAGAAAGGCCCAATTTGCTTCTGCATAGCCAGGAAAGTGACTGAAAACCAGCAGAGAGCAGAGCAAGTGTCACTGTTCCCTTTCAGACCCCTCCCCCACTTACAGTGTC